CTATCTTCTTCTCCATTTTCTTTGCCCACTTCTTCTTCCATGCACTTTCTTTGCTCTTCCACATCTCCTCATTCTGCTTCTGGAGTTCTTCATTGAGGGCATGGACCTGAGTGCGGACCATGTCCTCCACATCCTCAGGTGCAAGAGAAGGGGCATCTCCAGTGACAGATGCAGGGGACATGGAGTCTGCAAAGCGGCCCCCCATGCCATAAATGCGACCTTTATAAAGGCCACCCACTGTCTGTGACCACATAGCATCCTCATCTACTGACTCTGGATTCTGAGAAGATGCTTCCTCAAGCCTTTGAATATAGTCATCCTACAGTTCAGTTCAGATAATTAGATATTAGTTTGGAGAACTATTTAATAAGTCGCTAATAATAACATATATTATCAATAACTATGACTTACATATGTGGCCTGAGATCGTGTATCAACCCACAGGTTTTTGTCCTGCCTGCGAGTGTGTGTCTCTTTAAACAACTCTCCAGTAGTAGGTGGCCTCTTCAACGACTTCTCCTGCAATTAGAAATAAATCACAATCTCAAATATGAAATTATAGATAGAGTAAACTGAATTTTAAAATCACATACCAAGTTTGCCTTACTGCCAGCCAAAGTCGTAGACCCACCAGTATGCAGTGACCCCCCTTTATTAGATGCCCTGTTTGTCTTGTTCTTTACAGAGAGATTTTTAAACTCATATGTACCCCAATACTCCTGCAAGGCATGAAGAAAGTTGGGTGCTATCCAATCAGCAGTAGAAGGGTCCTGGCGAGCCTCAGTATACATCTGTCTTAGTCGCTTTGCAGTGCGACTCTTCTAGGCCTTGAAAATCATCTTTTCGTCCTGGGGGGGAATGGAGAAGTTGCTCTACAGAAACACAATTTCATTAGAAGAGGTACAAACAGTCATATGTAATTACACTTAGTTAAAATTAATACACTATTATTACCTTCCAATCTTTGAACCATTCTATCTTTGTATCATTTGGCACCTTTGCAAAACTTCTGTAAGGCGCATCAAACATCTTCTTAATCGTATCTGTGACCTGATGGAGACCTTTCTGTGGTGGTATCCAACTGATAACACAATAAAATAAAACATAACTACTAACATTCACATAAAATACGCAATAGGCCAACAAGAATATGGTTTATTAAATTGATTGTTTGGAGCGAACCCATCAGCACATAACCCTAACCTTACATTTCTAGGATCGGATGCAAACTCAGGATACACTTGATCAAAATGTTGCCAAGCCTGACCATGAGAGGGATGAGTCATTATCCCATCATTCCTTTTATTTTCAGCATGCCACGTCATGTAAGGAGCTGAACTCATAGATGCATACAACCTTTTTAGCCTAGGAATCAAAGGCAAATAATGCATTCTACTTTGCGGTACATCTTTATGTTTACCACTTCTACCACCTCTTCTTGGTTTAAACCTAGGCTCTCCACAGAATTTGCAATTGGTCAAAACAGCATCATCTTTGTAATACAGCATGCAGCCTTTCAAACAACAATCAATTTTGACTTCTTTTAATCCAAGTTTGGAAACTAATTTTTTGGCTTGGTAAAAGTCCTTTGGGATGGAGTCAGGTTCGGGACTAAGCTCACTAATTAATGTAGCCCATTGATCAAATGAACTCTGACTTTGATTGCCTTCTGACTTTATGCTTAACATTCTTATTGCTAAAGATAACTCTGAATGCACACACCCATCCCATAAAGGCTTGTTTGCTGCTTCTAAAACATTATAAAACTTTGCAGCCTCTCCATTAGGTTCTTGTTCAGCTTCAAAATCATGAAAAATTCCAAATTGAGGACCAACAGCATCATAAACCATTTCTTGATAACGACTATTGCTTTCTTCCCAACTTACATTACCTACATGACCACCTGATTGTAATATATTTGAATTACCTACTTGATTTTCTAAATTAACTTCTTCCCCATGCTCAGTCCATATCCAATAATCATGTTTAAATCCAAACTTATACAAATCATATCTAATTGAATCAATATCCAAAAACTTTATACACTTGCACTTAGAACATGGACACCTAACGACCTGATTGGTGATGAATTGCTGCGAATTACAATAGACGCGTATAAATTCCTCTACACCCTCAAAGAATTCAGGTTTTATTCCCCCCCGACTTAGGTGCAACCTATCATACATCCACTGACGATTTCTGAGAAACATCTTCCTCAAGAACTATATAAACCTAATACAAATATACAATGTGGTATCAACCTTCTAAAATACATTACAGAAAATTTTAATATAAATTTTGGCAGAATCTCCCCTAATACATGTTAATTTCCTTACATTTGTTTACTATTTTTTTACAAAAATGAAAATTTCACCTAAAATCAACTAATAAATTATATAACAATAAATTATTCGATACATCAAACACAAACACATCACAATCCTAAACCGTTCTAGAGCACATTCCCTTGTAACTCCACAACATGCATATTCTACAAACTCCACAAACACAAACAATCCCACAGCACACAATAATCAGGTTCGGAGAAGGACCTCTACGCCCTTCCCCCCAGTCATACAATCTCCAATCCTACAACTCTATCTTAGAAATTTTAAGTCTCTAAAAAACATAAAAAATTAAAAAACTAAACCGATTAAAAGTTAGAGTATCGTACCAGGAATACAATGATGCAAAAAAACTTTCAAATGGTTGCTCCAATAACTCGCAATGGCCAAAACACTGAGCTCTTAGAGAGAGAGAGAGGGTTCTGATGGGGGAGGGGAAGAGGAGACGCGGTTTTAATGGGTTTCAGTCATTACAGACGGAAAAATCCATCTGTAATAGGTTTAATGAAACGGTGCGTTTCAGGAGGCACATTACAGACGGATTTTTCCGTCTGTAAATGCGTCAATCCCATTTATAGACGGAAAAATTCATCTGTAATGTGCCACCTGAAAGGTCGGCTAAAACCGCCATATTTACAGACGGGAAAATCCGTCTGTAATTTCCCGCTATAATATTTCATCCTATTTTCAAATTACAGACGGAAAAATTCGTCTGTAATTACTGTCTATAACGTTTGGCGCCAAAAGGCGGGCAAAATACAGACGAATTTTACAGACGGGAAAAATTCGTCTGTATTACAGACGGATTTTTCAGAAAAAAAAAAATTATTTCACAAATTCGTCTGTAAAGCCGTCTGTAATACAGACGGATTTTTTTCCGTCTGTAAAATCCGTCTATATTAAGCGCTTTTCTAGTAGTGATAGTAAAGTAAATAATATTAAATTTTTTAATTTTAATATTTGAAATAAATAAAACTAATAATAAAATAAGATATAAATTATATATAAATGATAATATTGTTAATTTTATCAAACTTGATATATTTTATAATAATTTAAAACAAAAAAATTAAAAATTAAAATTAAAATTATTAAATAAGTAAAAAATTATAAAAAAATTTGTAGGATATAATTTTTAAAATATTTTTTATAAAAATTTATGATTATATTTTTCATAAAAAATATTAAAATTAAATTGATAAATAATAATTTTTTTTATAAAAAATATTTAAAAAGATAAAAAATACGAGTAAAAAAATTATCATATTTCTTAACCTGCTCTATTCTTCAATATAAAAATTTGAAATATAAAAAAGAAATATAAGATAAGATAAACTATCACATTTTATTATTTATTAAATATTAAAAATAAAATATGATACGATAATTTATTCTATCTTATTATTTTATTTTAATTACTAAATTAATCTTAATTAACACTATTTATATTTTGTAGAGATTGAAGTCGCATTAAGCATTGTATTTGTTACTATTCTTTTTGTCTAGAAAAATAAATTTTTTAAGCTAATTTTATTTTATTCAAAATAATAGTTATTTTATAATTTTAATGTGTTATTATTTCTTCTTTAAAAAATTATCTTTAAGATAATTATTGTCTCAAAATTTATCTTTTAGTTTTATTTATCTATCATATAAATAAATTTTAAATTAAATATAATAGAAAATTTTATAGTACTTTTAGTAAAAATAAGATAAATTTTAACCATATTTTTTTTGTATTTTTTTTTTTTAATGAAATTGAACTTTACGATGAATGAATTTAAATTAGTAATTTATAGTATTTTTACAGTGTTTTTTGAACTGCTATTTCATGTAGCGTTTATATTTATATATATTTTTTATTTTGTTTTCATCTTCACTGCCTTGCTATAATTATTCTTTTGTCACTTTCAATTCTACAAATTCTCTACCAATGAGGATATTTTAAGAAGAGAATATAAAAAATGATCATCTTAATTTTTCAAATTACAAATTATTTAAAATAAAGTAAAATATAAAAAATAAAAACCATTGAAAAATATATATAATTATCAAATTTTAAGTTAAGGTAAAATCATTAAATCAAAAACATATCCTGGGCTATTGACTAAAAGTTAGTTTATTGTAAAAAAAATTGAAGAAGCTAAGTAAACAACGAAAGGCAACAACAGATTGTTTAGATTATTGGAGGGTATGATGTTGTGAGAAATGAAATAAAAAAATCACAGCTTTAAACATAATCTCTTACTCTTTTCAATTTTAATTATTTTAACAATGGCAGTGGCTGTTTTCCATGAAAGGGTGAGGCATAAAGAAAAACTACAATGGCCAGATGGGTCTGGGCTTTCAAAATATTTAAGGTGCTTTTGTCGTATGCACAACCAAACATGCAAAGCAACCATGTGGGTCTTGTGCCTTGCTCTGTCTCATGTCTGATTGGGCTTGCCTAGTTTGCATCATGTTCTTCGGTACCTCTTAGCTACAGACACCTATCCACAAAATTATGAGGACAAGAGAAACCTTCTACCACAATAATTAAAATAACATGATATCTAGAGGATCAAAATAGGCGTCCAAGAGAATATCCTCTTAATGAAACAACTCTATTGTTGAAAGAACTAAGAAGTAAGAACAAGCACTTTTTTTATAATGTCTGACCTAATATCATAAATGAAAATAAAATTCGTATATTAAGTTAAGGGCGAGGAACATTTCATTGCATAAAATTCAAAGTTCCTCTGAGAAAACTACTTGCTGCATGATTTTGTTTGCCCCATCAGATAGATCTAGTAGCCTTTTCAAAAGTAAAATACAAAATTCTACAGTATTGTCACTGATCCTGAGAGTTTCAGAAACCATTTTCTGTTATTGGATTAAACTAAACAATCTAGAGATGGGAGATAGACACATTAGATTAAAGAAGTGTCCTTGTCCATTATCCAATAGAGCGCCACCAAACAGCTGAGAAGTTGAGTCCAACCAAACACACAACAACGTTATACCTCAGCCACCATTCAAATCTAATACCCTCAAATTCTCGTTCTCTCTCTTTTGGTCGATAATCGTGTGTGATGGGTAGTAGCGGCGAGGATCCCAACTACAAACCCGATTCTCTATACGAGTCTGCAGCAACACACCCCTTTCTAACGAAACCCCAATTCCCATCTTCTTCTTCGTCTCCTCCAATCGAAGAAGATGGTTCCCAAGAATCGGAGTCAAACCAGCAATACCTTCACATCACATACAATCACGGGCCTCGCTCCTTCAAGGACCTTCCTTTGCTCATCCTCTTTCTCATCTTCATCCTCTCCACCTTCGCTTTCGGCATCTTCGCAATCTTCAACAGAAACACTAACTACTCCTCTCTCTCATCCTTCACCTACGACCCCAACACCACCTCTTGCATCAACCCTTCTGCCCTTTCCACGTCATCATTCACCATCGATTCCTCTTCGCATTTTGTGAAGGGTTTGACATGGACCCTCGTCATCACCTTCATTCTCAGCATCCCCATGTGTTGGGCTCTGCTTCTCTTACTCAAGCATTATACCAAACACATTGTCTACGCCTCCCTTCCCTTCTTCATCGCCATACCCATCTTCCTCAACGTCTACTGGTTCGTCGCCTGCACCGTAAACGCTTCGTGTAGCAACGCGTTCCCACTCGCCTACCGGATTCTGGTGATGGTGTTCGTGTTCTTGGTGATAGGGGTGATCGTGTGGATCTTGGTGGTGAATTGGCATCGCGTAGAGCTCACGGTGAGCATAATTGGGGTGGCTTCCGACGCGCTCTCGTGGAACCTGGGGTTGTTTGGGGTGCTGCCATGTTTGACCGTTGGGTTGGTGGTTTATTACGTGCCAATAGTGGTTTTCATGGTATTTTCGAGGTTTAATGGGAAGATTGTGGCAAAGAATTTGAAGGGTAAATATGAATATGGTTGTGTTTGGAAGGAGGACTCGTGGGTACCCGCTTATTTTGCATTGGCAATTCTCACCATGCTTTGGTCTGCAGCAGCCATGCTTGAAGCACAAGTTTATGTCATCAGTGGGACTATAGCCAATTGGTATTTCTCCAAGGACTATCAAACTCCCCAGCGGAGTATTAGAACTTCTCTCAGGTCTAACATCAATTTTCTTTTATTTATTTCTTCTTGTTGTTGCTGCTGCTTTGCATTTGTTTGCTTGCTTGTATCATGTTACATTCTGATCATATGTAGTTTGATTCATACAATTCTTATATGTAGTCTTCTTTCATGGTAGTAGCATTATAACCGAATTCCATTATGAATGTGTACTTTATATTTTCCTGCCCCAATGTTAGAGTGCTTAGTTTGAGAACCTTTTCTCTTATTAGTCATAATTTCTTGTTAATGTCTCTAGTTGGTTGCTTACGGAGTTTCCTTAGTTCTAGACTGTCATTAATTGTGACATGTCTTGTAGCTTCCTGATTTAGTCATTCTCTGTAGCGTGCTCCTTGATTGGTGGATAGGAAAACAGATGGAAAGAAGTCTTCAACTCTGTTGAATAGTTTTCTCTTTTAGAGCTGTATTAATGGTGAGAATTTGGCTTGCAGAAATGCTTTTGGTCCTTCTTCTGGCACGATATGTTTGTCAGGATTGCTTATCTTTGTTGTTCGAGTGGTGCGTTCTGCGGTTGATAGTGCTAGACAAGAGGATGCTCCTGGGATAGTTAACCTTGTATTGCGGTGCTGTGTAAATGCTTTATTGACAGCAGTTGACTTTCTTAACAAGTTTACCATAAACTTTGCTGCTATAACTGGTGAAGCCTACTGCTCATCTGCAAGGATGACATATGAACTTCTAAGACGTAATCTACTCTCTGCTGTTTTTGTGGAGACCATCTCATCCCGCCTCCTGGCTGGAATTGTCTTTGTCCTCTCTGCAATATACACAATTTTGGTACGTGACATTAATATTACTCTTTTTAATCCTTGTCTTGTGCTAAAATGCGAAACCTCTTAGTGTAGGCATAAATTTCAGCAATTCCTATTGAAGCATGAAATAATTTGTATAGTTAGTGCTCTTACAGCTGTAACCTGTGGATATCGACTATTGATCATCAACCTGCAAATTACAACATATTCTTTCATTAGTATCTCCGCATTCAGGGACGTAACTAGGTTCAACTAAATAGGGGCAGTTGCCCCCCTCAAGGATCAAAAGTCTATGGATATTTATATTTAATATAGTGCGATGCCCCCATAAATTTGACAGTTGAAATGAAGTATATCATTGATAAGCGATTTCTTTATCTTACAAGTAGTTCTATTTACTTTTGCAAAGTATATGATATTTTATTTTTCTTAAATTACGTTTAAGACAAGCATTAATAATAAAAACAAGTCATTGTTGATTTTACTTAACATGTGTTAAATTTTTGGCCCCCTTTACCTATTTTTTCTGGCTTCATCCCTGTCTGCATTTTCATTTGGCAGCCATAACTGTGATCCATTCGTGTTTCTTCTCTCTTATCTTGGCATTTGTTTTGAGGTTAGAAGGTGGTTGCAGGAGGATTTAAGTCAGCTGAAACTTCATTGTTTTCTCATAAAACTCCAAGCAAACAATGTCTTAAAAATGATATGAATCTTCTTGTCCACCATGGCCTCTATTGTTAGACTTTTGAGCGAAAAAAATTATGCGAGTTATTCTGTTCTGTCTATTTAATAAACTGATACTAGTTTGTTTTGCTATTTTGACGGTTTTGTGTCTCTTCTATTTACGTTTGTCCTAATTGTTTGTATACAAACAGGCCTGTGTTATCTTAAAGGCTGGTACCAATCTTGGAGCTGATTCATATTTTGTAGCTGCCATGGCATGGGTGCTTCTCATAGTAGTGCTGGGTTACCTGGTGCATGTGCTAGACAATGTCATTGACACAGTCTATGTCTGCTATGCGATAGACAGGGATAGAGGAGAGGTTTGTAAACAAGACGTCCATGAGGTGTACGTTCACCTACCCATTAGTAGAAGTCTCAGACAACCTGTTATTACAAGAACTCTAGGTGTGTAAATAATTCTTGGGATTCAAACCTGGGATTGTTTTTTTTGTGGACAGTGTGGAGTTAGATTTGTCTGTCAGCTTATTGTGCATACTTTTGAATGCTGCTGCTATAAATTTTTGTTTTCTAATTTACAGAGGGTAATTTTAGTTAATCTAAAAGTTGACTTCAGTTTAACCTTAATCATGTAATTTTGTTTGGGGTGAAGAGGCAAAAGTTTACACTGTTAATAAAAAAATTGTTGAGCTAAGCATCAGTTTGCTTTTACAGCTTTTATTCTCATTTGTTTGGTGCATCAATTTGCTTTTCATCTCCTTTAGGGGGCACTATTCTCGTAGTCATGAAGAACTGTAAAAGCATCAAGCCAAGTATGTACCTGTTTCTTCTGTTTTCTTTTTGGTCGAACATTGAAAAATGGTTTGGCCTGAAATTATGTAGTGAGGTAATTTGGGTCTTGGGATATTTATGGTCCATTAAGGGCTTGTGCATATCACGTTTGTTGCTTATTATGGTGGAAAAATTCAAATATATTGGAAGACTAATACTCGGGTAGTTTTAGAAGTAAGCAGAAATGATTTTTTTCCCCTTCAATTTAAAGGCTCATATAATTACTTGTGACTCACCGAAAAAACATATAACTTATGGAGAATAAAGACATATAAGGTTTTTCAAATAGTATTTACAAAGACTTGTATTTATCTCGGTTCAAGGAGATAATGAGAACTCGAAGTAGTAACCTAACGTGTAAAATTGTGTCTTACTTTACATAACCAATTTTTTGAAGTTTTACTCAAAAAGCATTTTGTATATGAAAAATGTTAATAACACATTTATTTTATTCTATTAAATAATAAATATGATTCACTAAATAAGTTTTACAACTATGGAATTTAACTCAGTAATGGATAATGTAAGAAAAAAGTGTTAAAAGAACATATTATTAATATTTCTCTTCCATGTATCGTTGATAGTCTCTTTGCTTAGTCTTAAAAAAATGAAACCAACAAAATGAAAAAGAGAATAAAAATTTGGGCTTAGCAAGTTAACAGGCTTTCATTTGCAATTCCGAAAGTTCTTTGTTCTTGGATCCCATACTGGAGAGCTGGTGGTGGCAGAGTGGCAGTGCCAATTACTTATATCACTCTCGCTGATTCTTCTCAGTTCAGTAAAGTTTGTTAGCAAAGAAATCAGCCACATGCCTCAAAACCTCCAATAGATGGTGGCTTTCAGCAACGATGGGTTATTCCAAAATTTTACTTCGCTTGCCGTTTGGTAGCGTATAGAATGAATAGCTTTATAATTTATTTCATACATTTAACTTTGTTGTACATCATCTATATAATATATATGGAACAATACAGTAAGATATTATTGTGCAAACTTATATAAAGTACAAATAAATGATTAGATGATAACTAGATGATTCAATCTGGTTGCTGTGAATGTTGAATCAACACACCAACACATAGGTTATCTTATTCCCACCAAAGCTTCTCTTTGCTTGGTAGGTTGGCAAAGGTTGAATTTGACCAACCGATAATACAATATAACCTACAATTCGGGTCAAACTAACCCAGTTCCCAATGGAAGTTCAGTCCAATAGAATTTAGCCCAACCAGGTTCTTAACGACACAGACCCAAGGCTACATGATTTATATTTTAACGTAGATTGTTGTAATGCTCTTAGTATTTAACATTTTTTTTATTACAACTATCGTTAGGCTTTCTTTATCTATAAATATGTTCATCGTTGACGCTTTATAATTTTCAATGGTAATTAGTTAACCAGAAGGACTCAGAGTTTATGGTTTTATCAAAGGCCCTAACATACTTGTGACTGAAACTATATTTAAAGGTAAATGAAAAAGAATATAGTGTAATAAAATAACTATTTTTATTATGAATATTTTATATTGAAACGAAAATAAAAAAGGAAAGATTAATGGTCTCTCGTATCTTACATTCGAGGGACAGAAAAGGATTGATTAATAAGCTCACGAATAGTAATCATTTGACACCTCTCATGATATATATATCTCAACTCTCAAGTGAGAAAAAAATTGATAAATAATACAACAGAAAAATAAAAATAATAAATAAAATTATAAGTTTAGTCTGTTATATATATTTTAAATTTAATCCTTTAAATTATGTTTCTATATCAGTCCTTTTTGTTAATTTCGTTACAGCACATAGAAGAGGTGGTGTTAACATCATTAACCTTAATCAAAATAACGTCATTTGGTTTAGAATAATAAAGGATAAGAGTATATTCAAAATACTTTTGTGGTGATTCAATTAATATTAGGTTAGATAAGAATAATACTCTTTCAAGTATTCAATATCTTCATCCATACTTTATCCCCATGGCTATCGGCAAAGTACCACTGCAATCTCCATGGTTGCCAACATCACCTTCTTAGTTCATCTATAATCCATCTCTTATCACCTTGCGTTTATACAAAAAATGCAAAACCACGCCACCCCCGTCTCCGTGGCTGAGGTTGATCATGATGGAGCTTAGGTTAAGTTTAGAGGTGCTCATGTTAAAACTATTTTTCTTAACATTGTTTTAAAAAGTTCTAAATCTATTTACTGATGAAACCTTGTTTTTTATGTTAAAATTTTGTTCTTATATTTTATATCTCGCTTGTACCATCAAATTAATTAATTACTATATTTTTTTAAAAACAAAGTTCGTTTTTTTTTTCCTAAACTTTAGTTGAGGATATACTTTTTGTCAGTTTTTTAACTAAGAAAACAGTGGTTAAAGAACAAAAATAGAAGAATAAATAAAGCAATACTAAAAGTAATCTGATACCTTTTTCTTCTAGTTGTAGATATTCAAAGAATGGAACCTATCACAAAATAAGCTGAGTTAAAAGAAAAGTAAAAAAGGAGAAGGTTTTCTAAGCTTATTCTATTCATTAATTCTAAAAGAAGTGCAAAAAAAAAAAAAAATACAGTATAAAAAGGAGGTCAAAATAAAATAGGCATTTTTTCTCTTATTTTCTTCTATATTAACTCAAAATTATATAAATTTAAACATCAAATTTTTTATTTTTTTTTACTAGACCTTACAATAACTTCAACAAAATATTACAATTTAACACATAAAACAAATAACTATACACTACTAAACTGAAATCACGCTAAACAACATACTAAAGAAACTTAAATGCTTCCTAAAAACTAAAATAATATTTTAACAAGAATTACTAAACAATAAATAAATAAATAACTAAACTACAAGCGGACACGTTTTTCGTTCTAAAATAATTTCCTAACACTCTTAATCTAAATTTATTTTTAAAATATACTTTTATATATCAAATTAAGGCACGATGTTCTAGAAGTAATTAATTTCTTTTAAAATGACACGTGTCATTTTTAATTTTATTTTTTGACTTTAAATTTAAATTTATCTATTTAATTATAAATATCTTTCGCACAAATTTTTATATATTTTTTATTTATTTAAGTGAACACAAGATTCTAACTTTTTTTACATGAATTAATTATTCATATTTTTTATATATTTTTAAACGTTAAATATTTTTTCTTAAATGATGATTTTGGGAATGTCATGAGATTGATATGCGAAGGAATGAGAAAGTGATTTGTGGCTTGGTTGATGAGAAGTATTTTGCCAGAGGTCATAGAGATTAGGATGGTGTTTGGCTGGTGGCCATGGAAACGAAGGGAGTGTTTTGTCGACAGCTTAGAGATGGAGTTAAGATGAAGAAGGTAAGTAAGAGATCTATAATCCAAAACCGCCTCATTTTGACCAAGATCAATGACGTTAACGTCTGTTAAGTGAACCAATGGAGCTAGCAGAAAGGAGTAAAGTGAAATTAAAATATAAAGGATTCAGTTAAAAAAAACAATTAAAGATTAAAAGTTTTGGTAAAATAATATAAAGAGTGTAAGGTATAAAAAAATCATAATAGGAAATGAAATATTAAAATTTGTAAGTTTTATTTCATTCCATCTTATTTTAAGCAGTCCAAAAACTTGAAGCCTAAGATAATTTCATTGTTGTTTACTTAATTAATTCCATCCATTCCCATCATCTAAACAGTGTGAACGATACCTGAACTTTATATGCTGAGGGCCTGACGATCGAGGCCATGTGCTGAAGCACAATCAGAATGAATTAGTGTCTGATATTCTATTAACTTTGTTGCATTGAGCCATTATGGCTTCTAAGATTATCGTTTGCCATTTGTTTAGCGGGGGCTCCGTGCCCCTTTAAGTTAGCTTTACATGGTGCACCACTTCTTCTATACCATGCCAATCTGGTTCAGCAAGGAATCTAAACTTGATGTAACTCTAGCCTGCAATTACTTAAAAGACAGAAAATCTAAATGATTTAATTTCTAGGTTCACTTTTATTAAAAAACGTATGTTAATAGAAAACTTTGCCAGCTGTGATTCTCATAGCTGGTCTCGTGTATATTTAGATAAATTGTGTTAGGCCTTGGATAACAAACGAAAATTTCATACATGGATGTTAAGCCATACAAACTGCTGATCTTGTGGATTAGATCGAGAGAATGGAGATCATTCTGAATCAGAATGTACAAGCAGCACATAAAATATGATATGTACATATGTTGTCTCTCCCTTTAGTTTGCCAAATAGAACTTTTTTCAGTTATTGGGGTATACAATAATAATAACTAATAAGCGTAGTATAGGGTTAGAATCTGATGAATGCCTAATGTTGACAAGCCAGATAATAAACATGTAACCAGAAAAAGGACCAAGAGGATAAAGTTAGGCTATATTATATGCCGTTTTGTCAAATTGAGGATTAATATGCACCACAAAAGTGAGTACTTCCATGCAGAAGAAGCTCCTCTAATATCAAAGTACTTGATTCTAATGGTCTACCACTCTATCTCAAAGTAGTTAGACATCATGCCGAACCATCCTTTGCTAAACAATTTATTTATGAGAAGAAAATGTTGGGGTTGTGTAGCAAGGAACAAATGAATCATGCCACCTCAACTTGTGGGCCTAATCAGGAATTTATGAAGTCAAGAAGAGGGTCCTTTGTTCGATACACATGCCTCCCTATTCACCTGCACAAGTTATCATGCTGGCTATTTCACTGGATTTTAGTGTTTGTAATCTCCATTTATCCTCGCTCACTACCATGGGCTAGAACAATGCATGTGGGAAAATATAACATAGTGACACAAGGAACGGAATGTGTGACTGTGATATTGACTTAATAATAAAATAAAATATGAGTCATTGCATATGTCTGAATTTCTATCACTGTCTCAATATCAACTAAATGATATGACATTAGTTGCGGTGTTAACTCCACTGCCTTCGTTTTCTTAGACAAATGCATTGGAAAACTTTAGCCCTTGGGGCGTGAAATCTCGAAGCTGAAATAAGAACCAATTAAGAGGTTTATATAAAAACAAACGGATGATTGCCAAGTTCAAGTTGGCAAGGGAAGTGAACGGTGATTGGCAAGATGTACGTACATACATAGTTTTATAATGATTTATCAGAAAAAGTTTTTTCTATTGTAGTTTCTTTTTTTTATTTTAACCTTCTTCTGTGCTTTGCTTTCACGCGAAGACAAACACACTAGTGTGATGGAATGTGTGGGAGTGATCCAAGATATACAGGACCACGGTTATAGACTTCTAGTTCATAGTTCATACTACAAACTAATATTTTGTGTTAAAATACGATTGAATGGTGAGTGTACGTATTTGTTTACAGGGAAAAATATATTTAATCTTGATTGAGTTCTGTAAAAAATACCCTATTAGTTTGATGTCCTTTCAGCTAATTTCAAGATATTAATTATTATTCTCATAACTTTTTCCGTAAAACCCCTTTTAAGTGGCTAATAAATCTTTTATTTTTATGTAATCTGGATTTTTTACTTGATTCTAGATTCCAATTTTGTTGAAGTTTAAATGCTATGTGAAAATTAAAACAAAGATTCTTCTCACTAGAAATAGTTTGTTGTTGAAAATATTGCTGTTGATCTGGTTATCCATCCAAACATGGGTCTTCTCACTTAGTGACTAACTTTAAATGAATTTTAAAATTTTTTTATGCTATATTTCTATAGTTACCACCTTTTTTTAACATATAAAAAACAAATACTTATTTTTTAATGTATTAATTGTAGAATTCTTCTTATTTATTATCAAAATTTATATTAATAAAATATATAAATAGATAATGTTAATTTAATCATTTATTATTATAAATATTTTTGAAATGTACTATAAATTTATGACATATGATTATATTTTATTAATTTTAATGAATTATTTTTTTTTTTAATAAACAAAAATCCCATCGTGAGTATTATCTAGGAGAAAAAAATTGCTCGAGAATTGAGATTCCTCGGGTCTGAACGTCAACTCCTTTGTTTTAATATTCAGATTTTGTTTTCCTTTTAAAGGCAATTGTTGACTCATTTGAAGAAAGGAAAGGTTAATAGCTAATGAACGTAAAACACTATCATGTGTTTGGATTTATTATTATGGAGGGAGAACAATACATGGAAAATTGGAGGCTTTTTCATGCATTACACATTTTTATTCAAGAATTTTAATTCAGCTCTCCCTAGTGGTGACCCCAGGATTTAAACTCATGAACTTGTTCACAAAATTTGTTTAGGGTCAAAATCTACTTTAAATGCAATCAAACATCAACAATTGTTGGGATTAATTTAATATATTTATATGTGTCTGTGAATTATGTTTATACATTTTAAGAACTAATTTAACATTTTTTATATAAATTGTAGGAATGTAGGCCATATAGCCTTAACACACCCATCAAATATATATATTATTAATAGACTTTTATGTTGCGGATCAAAATGGTTAGTGATAATTAATTAGTTATCAATTCTTTTATATTTGAGTTTTTTTAAATTATGTGTTCACAGATACATGATAAAATAAAAATATAAAAAAGTGGAAAAATTTTAATTTTGCTAATAAATATCCAATAAACACTACTTCAAGAATTAATAAATTTAAAAATATTGTAGAAGTGTATCAAAGGGGTTAGTACAAGAATTAAAAAGTAGATGTAATGTTCTCATTTTTATTTAAATTATCACATGATTTTTTTTATTATCTTCTTTGATCTTTTATTAGTCAATTACTCTTTTTTTAAGTTAATAATATAATTGATAAAATGTAATTATTATTGTTTTAAACTTTTAAAAGTGATAAATAGGAACATTTTTTTTTCTAGAAATGTGACAGAAAAGAAAGAATAAAGAGAACAATTATTAATAGTTGTAATTTTAAAAATAAAACAATTTAACCTTAATATTAATTAAATTTGTAGGATTAACTAAGATAATTAGATTTCAGGGGAGAATCATTGCGTTTTCCCTTGTTCTATTACCAATATTGCTGAAAGGTGTTGTGGTTTTATTCTTTTAGTGGTTTTGGATGGAAATTTTTATTGTCCTTTTCATTCCTTATAATTATTTCGACATCACACTGATGCAATATAGATTATAGACACAACACATCACACCTTTATGGGATTCAATTAATAATGTGACCATTTTGGGTTAAGTCCATCTCTAATTTCTTTTGTTATGCTTTTGTCGTCTTTGTATTACAAACTTTAGTGCTCGTCGTTGTCACGAGTTACCAGCAAATAAATGTCAGTATCCTCCAATTTATGTTTGAAACTGTATAGCTGGTTTAGTCACCCACAAGGCCACAATTTTCCCAAATGATAATTTATTACCATTTAATATTTAATGATATTATAAACTCTATATATGGAAACAATCAAATAGATATCTGATTCATGTTTTTGGGTGACATGTATTATTCAGTATTTATTTACTTTTAAAAGGATTTTTTTTTTTTTATCTTTTCACTCAGAAATTAAAAAATTAATTATTTTGATTTTTACTACTTTTAAAATATTTTTATATTAGTTCCCCCTCAATCTATGTATTATCTTCCTAAATAAATAAAAACCGAAGAACTAATGAGAAAGGAAAGTAATTAAACAGAGAAAATCCCATATTCTTTCTAAATAAGAAACTATTAAATAACTTATATATTTTTTATTTTTAAGATATTACTTGTTCAAATTTTTTGTATTTAATGCCGTGTGTTTTAATTAATTTAAAATTTTTAGAAAGTTTTATCAAAAGGATATAGTATTTATTAAATAAGTTTATATTTACTGAATAAATTTGCTATTATCCTTCTATTGAATTAAATAAAATATTAAATGATTTTACGCCAATAAAATAATAATTTCTTGTATTTTTATTTAATATTTTAAAATAAGTTATGAGCAAATAAGGGTGAATTTAATTTCAAATTATTTAATGAGTGAAAAATATAATTTTTAAAATTAAATTAATAATAAATATGTATTCAAAATTTTTGAAATAAGCATGTATTCAATTACTTTATAATTGTATAGAGTTTTTTTTAGGGGAACATTTCTCATTTTAATTACCAGCATTTCATTTGTTTGTGTACTAATAAAGCTCAGGTCCTTGGTACTACGGGCATTTACTGTGGGCAATTAGCTTATGTTTCTCGTTGCCAAAAATGTACATTTAGTTTGTGTTAGTTGATAACTTTCTTCAATTATAATAAAAATATTAACTACAAATAAAGAAAGGATTTAATTTGTGATCGATGACCGTTCGACTGAGGTACTTTTTACATAGTATATTTTCAATGAGTAATGTATAAAAAGTATTAAATGGAAAGGCTTAAAAATATATATTAAAAACGATATTAAATATTTTTATTCAATAAATAAGAGGATTAATAGGAAAATTTTGTAAAACAATAGTTAGATTTTTCTTAAAAGTTAATCCGGTATTCCATTTGACATTGAACTCCAAGTGAGGTGGAATGGATTGTCATTCTATTATCGTACTAACCAGGTTTCAGTTATCGGGTGAGGTATTTGCCCACAAAACTGAAAGGTATAGCTGAAAGGCTTTAATTGATATAAAATACATAATATATTAAATTAAAATTCAAAATATTAATTAATTTAATTTTTAAATTTCTAAAATATTATTTTATTCTTTAAAATTACTTAATAATGATTATTTTAATCTTTAATATTCTGAAATGATGATACTTTTAAAATTATCAAAATTAAAATAACTGATATTTTGTAATTTTAAAATTTTGGAGGGTAATTGAATGTGTTATTGAATATAAAAATAATAGACATAATCCAGGACAAAACTGTAAATAAATGAAATACTAATGGCAATCTCAAAGAGCCCCTGCTTATATATTGACTCAAGTCCCACCCCTTACCTTCAGATTCGTCAACCTTTCATTCTTAATAAGGAAAAGAAAAAGTGAGACCAGCTTGGTTTTCCTTCTCAGCTGATAACAATGGCGATGGCTTTCAAAATGGTACTACTGAACCGCGTCTTTAAGCCTTTTTTTCATTCTTTCTGTTTAGATTTTGATATTCGCAATACAATTACGTGTGTGTGTTTTTGTTTGTAAAATGCTCAATTAATTAATGATGAAATTGGGGTATTCAATTTTATTGTGTATAGTATTTATATACATAGTGACGAATTGGTCGTGAATTAACAATTAACAGGCTACTACTGGGATGTGGGTGACGGATGAGTGCAAGAACTCGTTCATGGAGATGAAGTGGAAGAAGGTGCACAGATACATAGTGTTCAAGATAGATGAAAGGTCTAGGCTTGTCACCGTCGATAAGGTGGGTGGTCCCGGCGAGAGTTATGATGATCTTGCTGCTTCCTTGCCGAACGATGATTGTAGATATGCCGTGTTCGACTTCGATTTTGTCACCGTTGATAACTGTCGCAAGAGCAAGATCTTCTTCATTGCATGGTATAATTCAATCAACCCTTTTGTTGTATTCACCATGAGGCCCTACTTGTGTTAATTTTTGACTCTAATGTTTGAAATGTAATGTTTGGGAAAATGACCCATTACCCAGATAGACACTAAAAGTTTATTTTTTCAAGGTGCAAGTGCAATTATCGTATGAATTTTAATTTTTTTTATTAAAATCTTCAGGGCTCCAACAGCATCAAGGATAAGAGCAAAGATGCTATACGCAACATCGAAGGATGGGCTGAGAAGAGCTCTTGATGGAATCCACTACGAAGTTCAGGCCACCGATCCAACTGAGATGGGATTCGATGTAATTAAAGATAGAGCCAAATAGATGCCCTTTTTTAAAATTGGAATGAACTTCTTAATCATGTGCTCAGCTAATTAATCAATTAATCCGTCAATCTTACTCTCTCTTATTAGGCATAATCAAGTAACTACAATCCAATGACTGTATGACATGTGCTCTTATTTCTGGCTTTTATGCTAGTTTAATTATGTTGGTTTTGGCACCATTGTCATGTAAGTGGGGCATCTAATCTTCAATCTTTAGTCATAATAATAAGTTATATGTAATATATGACTGTCGGGTGTATTATAAGTTAAGGGCAACCACCTGTGGTTGTAATCTCTTTAATGATGAAAATTGTTGAAAAGAACGGATTAGCTCAACTTTCCAAATGAAAAGTTGATGCGTTACCATATATCAATGATGCTTTTGCATTCCACATCCTATCCTTGACGATTCTAGTTTGCTTCTTGGGCTATTTAGTTTTGTGGCGTAACCAAGGCACTTCTAACAATGCTTCACTCATGGATTTGTACAAAACCAGAAGTGGAAAATCAGAAACAACGATGATTTACTGGGATCTGAGACTACTTTAAATTAATTAAACAATGGAGGACCTTTAACAAGTCAAAAGTAATTTTTTATACCTAATACTTTCTACTTTATTTGGGGTTCAGACAGAGGGTGAATACTGAGTACACCACAAAGATATTACTTTAACCGAAAATTTAATAATAAAAAATAATGGGTTTAAACATGTTTTTATTTTTTTTAAAGATCTTAATTTTAATTAACACTTATCATATTTAATGATGACATAATTTAATACAATAATGTCACGTAAAGACTAAATTAAAAAAAATAAAATTGAATTCTCACAAAAATATAAAAATTAAAAATATTTTTAAATCAAAATAATAATATAAACAATTGTCTGTCTATTACTTAGCGGTTAAACTATCTATCTATTATTTCACATAGTTTCCTTGTCGGGTTTTTGTTTTTTGGACCTTTTCTTTTGGTTTTTCTCTATCTTTTAGACAGCCGACCAAATTGAAAAGATGTAATGCCGTGAATTAATTTGTAGTATTTGGTTAATATTAGGGCAAATGTACCATCGATGTGCAATTTTTTTACAACACTTCAAGAAACTTTTGTATATTTTTAGAATAAGTTTCTGTATAATTTAATTAATTTTATTTAAGATTTTTTATATGAAGGTTTATGCTATAAACTTAATTATAAAATTTATTAAAACAAGTTAACAATTATAAATTATCTATAAATTTTTCTAAGCACACTCTCTTACTTTAAATTTCTAGGACTTAGCACGCTTGCTTGAAAGGTTATAAATAAGTTAGCCGCCATATCAAGATGGAGATATACACAACATGAAAATTGTAAAAGATTGAAAGTGTTAAATATTCTAAGAGCTTTTTTTTTTAAATACAGTTTTTTTCTCTTTAAAAAAAAACAAAAATAAAAACCATGTATCCCATGTGAATGTGAAGATATCAATGTAACCAACGTCTCTCAAAATTATACAGATTAAGGCCTAAAATGTTTTGTATGCAGTTTCTTCACTCAGAATGAAGATTCAAGCCAAACGTTGATTCAGACATTTTTTTTGGAACAAGACTTAGAGAACTAAACTTCGTACATGTTTTTACTTGTCCGAATTGGTCAGTTATAGTGAGTAGATTGTGCTGGGCTGGGCTTACAGTTCATCCGTTGGCAGAGCATGACTAAACTTTTCATTCCCATGTCGTTTTCTTGCTACTGTGACGCATCAACTTCAGCATTAAGCTTATCACCATTTCGTCCTTATATACAGCCCCACCTCAACTACTCTCTTCTTTATTTTTGCTAATTATTCTTACTCAATAATGCTATTATCCCATGCCCTTTTACTCATTTGTTGAGCAATAAAATTACATGATTACGTTTTCCTTGTAATCTAATAGTTGAATATATAAAATTATTTTTTTTTCCATGGACTAGATTAAAATATGTTAAATAAAAAAAGGTTATGAAACCAATGGATCTTACCCTCTATTCGTAGAAGCTTCCAGAGGGAAAATGTTGCTGGCGATTGGCATCAACATAGCATGACAAGCTAAAACCAAAACGAAGATCGATACGCGATATATCTTATTTAGCAGATCTTGGGTTGCAGTTAGTTATTCAGATAGACTGTTCTTAAAATAATAATGCGGTGTGCTTAGTGGTTGATAATTTCTACTCGATTTTTCTGCATGATGTTTAGCAATAAGAAACCTTCACATTTCAACTAGTTCATGAAAGCCAAGCGTATTCATTTCCTCTTACAATTCACAGATGATGGAAAGTGCCGTTGGAACAATCATTTATCTATCACATTATGCTAGTAACACATTATCTAACATATTCTTTCTAACACATTCTTGATAGTTTGAACTAAAATTTATTAAAAATGTAAAAAGTATAAGAGAAAAACATTAATTTAATAATAAAAAAGAGTAAAAGTTATATGATTTTTGTAGTTTTCAATAATTTTTAGTTAATAATAAATGATATGTTACAAATAGTATGTTTTTAATATTACTCATTTATCACATTATTAGAAATGATTGAGAATGAAAATTCCAAAAGCTTATTAAAGATAACATATTGTTAATATTATAAGGAGTATTCAATATGTTCTTGGGACATGTTAACAGTATTCAACTTTAGACCATCCTAATTATCAAACTTTGAATGCACACTAGTCAACATATATCCTTCCTTAAGCCTATACGGTTGTGTCTCATTTTTTCAGATTGATATTTCACACAGGTTAAAAAAGAATTAGAATAGTTTTTATAAGGCTTGTGTAAACATCAACTTTTGAACTAGCTTTTAGGAAAAACTTCACATGCAATGTTTAATTATAAATGTGAAAAAAAATGTCTTAAGATATTCTATCTCGACTAAAGAATAGAATCAAAATATATAATAACACACATAGCATTATTGTTCGGATTTCATTAAATACTTCAAAATTTTCCGGTGTATGAAGCATTGGCAAATTAAAGGATATGCGTTGTTTATTTATTTTGATGTACGTGAAGGATGCATTATTTAGCTGTATTTATGTGCTATTATGAATAATAGCGCCAACTTATCCAACTTACCTGGATTATGGATAGTCACTGTTAACATGGACCACAACCAGAAACCTCAAATTCAAAGAAACATTGCTTCAAAATTGTAACTAGATCATAATATAGGGCGTGAAAAAGTGTATGAGTAATGTCTGGGCTTGGCTGATAATTTGTTATTCTCTTTTTGGTCCAATTTAGTTTAGATCTTTAACTATTCATTTAGGGTAGTCCATGCTAAGCCACCACCAGTACTGTACTTGTGGCCCTTAAAATTAAACTTTCGATTGCTTCCCCATCCTACGATGGAAGAGGCCCTAACATTAGAGGTAGAAGTAAATCGATTTTTTTTAATAAAAGTATTTAAAAGAATTAGGGCTTAATGGTTTGTTCGCAATGTCAAATGTGTAATGGGCTCCGGTCAAAGAGTAAAGGCTTATTTGCTGTTATTATTGTCAGTAAGCTTGTTTATAAATAGAAATCAAATTTTAATTCGGTTTATATAGAAATTTAAATATAGTTTATACTTTTATCTATTTACTTTTTATCTATACTATATGTATTATTTATTAAAATTAATATTAAAACAATTTTGCTAGTTGATACACATATTAAGTGATTTATAAATTTATTGTTTTAACTTGATCTTGGCCGTGTGTTGCTATCATATTTATTTTAAAATATTATAAAACATGATAACTAAATTTTAAAATATATTGCTATTTATAAGGAAAGAAACAGGATTTGATTACTTTTTTAATTGAGCATTATATATTACTTAATTATAGTTTTAATAAAGTAGTATAATAGTAGTAAGTGATAAAAACATAGACAAAGACAATTGTTTATATAAAAAATGTAAAATTAAATTTAAAAAATTTATGTACCAGTATAAAAAGTATAACATGAGCACAATTAAAAATATATTTCTGGGATTACTACCAATGATCTTTTACATATTTAGCGTCTTTTGTCCATAGGCTTAGTTGAACTTTGCTATGTTCGCGCCGGTGAATGGATCTCTCTCTCTCGCGTACACACAAATTTTGTTTTTTTTTTACCCGGTGATTAATTAAGAATTTCATAATAATTTTTTAAAATTAATAATATTACAATATTAATAAAATTAAATAATGACTCTGATACAAATGAAATCCTCCTTAAATATACATATAATTTCTAAGAATTTTTTTAACCTTAATATTTAGAATTGAATTTAAGCGTAAAAAATTTTATTTGTTTATTTTCAGTCTTAAAAATCAAAATTAATATTTTTATAATATAAATAAATAATGGAAAAAATTAAAAACAATTTAAAAATAACATATATATATTATTAATATAAATAAAAAAGATAGGAGAGTCAGCATCTAACCCGTCGTCAAAGGGTATAGATACATTTTCAACTTCTGACAAAAATCACTTTCCAGCTCAAAGGAAAAATTAAAGAAAAGAAGAATAATGTGTCGGATCAGACCATTCTTGGGGCCGTGAATGACTGAAATCATCACATGTCCTCCACGCCATAAATATTTAAGAAACGCAATCTCCACCGTTCACTCGATTCATCATGCCCCACACAATGATGCGGCACCGTCCGATAGAGGCTAATGGGGACACTATCGTACCCTGCCTTCTGCCTAGTTAAATAGGGGACATAAATAAAGATTGTAGGATAAATAAAAGGTAAACAGCGTATTCTTTACCACGCACCTTTCACGCACGTAGATTAACCATCCCTTTTCTCTCGCTGAAAAAGCATGGGTATCGCAAATTGTTCTTTAGATGCTGCGATCACTTGTTAGATGCCATCGTGTGTTGTTCTCTACATGGCTTGCTAAATAAAAAATATTAATGTTTTTTTATGCAATGGAACATAATTATATTAACTTTTTAACAAATACGTTTAGTATTTAGAAGAAAGCAGTGCACAAGTCCGAAATGATGATAGAAGCACTGCGATTGAGATTGAGCTTCACTTAAATTGGCATTATGATGATCTTCTCACTAGAACTTTCTTTTTCACTTGCTTTCATTCTAACTATTTAGCACTTTTTCTTTATTTTCCTGTCCTTTTTCTTTTTCTTTTTTAGTAATAAAATATAAATGCATGTGGCCAATATAAATGCAAAGGGATATCAAATGACAGAAGAATATTCAGCTTTCACAATTTCAGTCGGTTGACGGGAAAACAGTATAAAAAATTCATGTGCATGTCGGTAAATGTAGTTAACGTGCAATTCTGTATTACTGTACAAAATTTGTCACTACATATGCATTGAGCGCAATATCCATTTCACCAGTCGCATGAATTTGGATACTGTTCTACTCATGTAATATCCTTATTATTTCCACTTCCTCCTGGCTAGATTTTAGTTGTATTTTGTTTTCCTGATTGAAGATGTACTGAAAAAGTCAAGCTAAAAAAGTGTCCTCAATTGCGAACGCTTTCTTCCTATCTAGAATTGGCATTTCAATCAACAATTAAATTGAATATTGATGTAACAATAAACAATAAACACTATAATTAGAACTATAATTCACTGATCGAAGCTAAAACAACCGTTGAAACTTCCATGACAAACCTTACTTCTACGAATGGATAAAATATTAGTTGGTAAGGCTCCCAATTGGCATGCATGGGAAAAAGTGTATGAACTCCCTAGAATGGGGAGAAGATAACTCATGGCAGTTATGTGGTGCAATACGAAAGAACCTAAAAGCATAAAAGGAGGAAGATTTTGGGTGGCATGATTTGTTATTTACACGTTTTGTTAAAATTTTAAAATAATATGAATTGTTAAAAAGTCTAACAATGAAAAACAAACTTATCATCGTACATGATTTGGATATTTGAATATATTTATAATGGTAATAATTGATAAGTGAAATAACATATTAATTTTAAAAGTATATTATATATATACATACGAAAAAACAATGGATAGAGTACAATTATTTCGTTGACGAGCACCTGTGGTTGTTAGCAACATTTATGAAAGGGGTGTGTGTAACGTATATTTTGTTGTCCTTTTCTGAATTGAATTTCAGCATGAAGAAAGCAGACACGTTGAGATGATTGGATGGGATGGGCCACGGTCTTAGTTGTCTTGCCCTTCCACGGTTCAATATTTTGCAAGCATTGATTTTCCTTTTATGGCCGAAAATTTTGAAGGCCACTTTTTAGATCTTATTTGATGGGGGGTGCACAGCATTTTCTCTCCAATGTAGAAGGAAATAAAGAGGACTATGTAACACCCATCTAAATGCTATGCGATCTATAACATGGCACTAGAACAAAAGTCAATTATCTTCTTACTTTATTAAAAATACTTTTAAACCGACAATAAAAATTAATTATTTGATTATGAAAGGCACAGCTAAATTTGTCATTCTTAATTTTTTTTAATATACACAGCTAAGAAATAGAATTAATGGCATATGAACTTTACTTTTATATACTTTTTCAATTTTATAAATAAGTAAATATAAATTGAGATATATTAATATAAAATATAAGTAGTTTTTAATTAATGTCACATTATCTGATAAAATCATTTTAAAAATATATTTATTAATTCAAATTTTATTTTTATTAACTTTTTAAATTGTATGTAACTTTAAAAATGAAAAAGGAAAATTCACTTGAAATTTTTTAATTTAAATCTTTTTTTAAAATTGTTTTCACTTTTCGCATTAACATTTGGTATAAGAATTTAAATCATTAACTAATATTATTAAATATTAATAAAAAATATATTATATTTAAATGAATTTTACAATGAATATTATAAAAATATTTAAAAATAAATTTAATTTTTGTATAAAATTTTAAAAATAAAAAAACTAATTTATCAATAGATAATTTAATTATATTTTTACTTTTATTTAAAAGCAGAAAGAGTATTTTCTATAATGGAAACCATTTTGTATTCAAAACACACATGGGATTATTTGATTCGATAGCGTACTAACAAAAAAATGACAAATTTAATCTAAGTTTTGACGTTTACCGTAAACCATTAAATGCGTACTATGGAAATGTTTCGTTTCGAGATTTCAATCATCAGTGTCAATAGAAGAAAGGCGAAAAAAAAATATTTTACGCTTAAGTGGATTAAAATAAAAGAAAGAGATGATAATTTTTATTTATGTTGGTAAATTTAAAAATTTAAAATAAAAAATATTTTATTAACATGATATTGTTTAATTAAATTTTTATTTTTTTATAATTATAATATTTCTTTAAAATAATAATATTATCACCCTTTCCTCTCCTGTTCATTTATCACACTTATGGACTTTTTAGTGAAAAAAAAATCTGTTCTTCCTCCCAAATTCCATATAAATTAAGGAAAATATTAGAAATTGTTTAATTTTAGAAATTGTTTTTTATTTTTTCTATTTTTCGTTTTTAAATATCTGTATAGAAAATATTAGAAATATTTTTTTTTTGTTTAACTGTTTCTTGCATAAATATTAAAAAAATATAATAAAATGAGAATAAGATAACAAATTTGTAATTAAAAATAAATAAACCCTTAAATTTCCTATCACTTTCTTTCTTGCCCCGTAATTTCCCTACGTATAAACAGATGCTTAGATTTCGAATTAAAAAGATAAAATGAAAAAATCAATTATTCGCACGCACACACACATATTGGAATGATTTTTAAATTGATCAGTTCAAATTCTCTAAAGTGAAAATAATTATAAAATTAATTATTTTAATATATTTAATTTATTATTAATTAATACTGAAATTGATTGGTTTAATGTCCTTTATGTATTTAAATTTCACTAACTTGGTATAAGCTAAAAGAGAACTCTATTTTTTTGCCATTAAAAAAAAAGTTAATCTTCTTACTCTTTCTTTTATATATAATTTTAACTTTGCTATCATTTTTTGTTATATTATTCATTTATCAAAATTATGTTAAATGATTTAAACAAAAATTTAAAAATTGATTTATATTAGTCTTAATTAATTTTATCTTTATTATTTTATTTAAGATTATCTTTTTTGCGAAATAAATATCACTGATAAATGGAATAGGAAGTAAGGAAGGAGAAATGGGGAATGGAAAAGCCTCAGGCGGCATCGTTTTCGCTGGCAGCTTTGGAAAATGGATATAGAGGGTCATGTCTTGTTCGGTCCAGCAGAGTAACAAGGCATAGTTTACAAATTACTATAAAATATTATATTTATACAATAACATTATTTATCTTATTTATATTATAAATAGAATTTCTCTTTAGTTATTCACTTGTGGAATTGATTTCGGTAAATTTATGTATTTGTTTTAAAAACTCAGTATTAAACTGACATACGACACTAATTTATTATATTTTTTATTTAAAATTATGCGGTTCAAACTATTTCACTTGCTATGTCACAGATATTTAGATTCGAGTGACGTCCCACGCTGCATCCACAGGGATAAACACTTGATAACTGGCCCCAGGCTCGAATAAAAAACGTAATTAACTAAATCGAATATTAAAAACAAACGTTATTATAAATTTTGAAATTAGTTTTTAAAAAAAGAAAATTAGAGAGGGCCCCTTTCACTGAAGATGTTATAACACAGTCTTCTACTCCACTCAGTGGTACTTCTTACTCACTCATTCTCCACTCTCTCTCAAATGGCGAAACTCACATTCAATCCCACTCTTCCCGCACTTGCTTTCTTCTTCATTTTACTTTCTACTGTTTGTGCCGATGAAGCTTCCAAGACCTTCATCTTCCGTGTAGAATCCCAATCTAAGCCCTCGATTTTCCCCACTCACTACCACTGGTACAGCTCTGAGTTCACCGAACAGACCCGCATCCTTCACGTATACGACACCGTTTTCCATGGCTTCTCTGCAGTGCTCACGCGCCAACAAGTAGCGTCCATAAGCCAGCACCCCTCCGTCCTCGCCGTTTTCGAGGACCGTCGCCGTCAGCTTCACACCACTCGCTCCCCTCAGTTCCTTGGCCTCCGCAACCAGCGAGGTCTCTGGTCTGAATCCGACTACGGCTCCGACGTCATCATTGGAGTCTTCGACACCGGCGTGTGGCCCGAGCGCCGGAGCTTCTCCGATTTGAATCTCGGCCCCATTCCGCGCCGCTGGAAAGGGGTTTGCGAAACCGGAGAAAGATTCTCACCCAAAAACTGCAATCGCAAGCTCATCGGTGCAAGATTCTTCTCCAAAGGTCACGAGGCAGGTGCCAGTTCTTCGGGTCCTTTAAATCCCATCAACGAAACCGTCGAATTCCGATCCCCTCGAGACGCCGATGGGCACGGGACACACACTGCCTCCACTGCCGCAGGTCGCTACTCTTTTCAGGCCAGCATGTCCGGTTATGCTTCTGGAATCGCCAAGGGCGTCGCTCCCAAAGCACGATTGGCGGTCTACAAAGTTTGCTGGATGAATTCTGGTTGCTTCGACTCCGACATACTCGCCGCCTTTGACGCCGCCGTTAACGACGGGGTCGATGTCATTTCTATATCCATCGGCGGCGGCGACGGTATTGCCTCTCCGTACTACCTCGACCCCATTGCAATCGGGTCCTACGGCGCCGTCTCCAGAGGAGTGTTCGTGTCTTCTTCCGCCGGCAACGAGGGCCCCAGTGGAATGTCAGTGACCAACATGGCTCCGTGGCTGACCACAGTTGGAGCAGGCACCATTGATCGGGATTTCCCCGCGCAGGTGATTCTTGGCGACGGTCGGAAACTCTCCGGAGTGTCACTCTACTCCGGAGCGGCGTTGAAGGGGAAGATGTACCAGCTAGTTTACCCTGGAAAATCAGGGGTTCTGGGAGATTCACTCTGCATGGAAAATTCCCTGGATCCGAACCTTGTTAGGGGAAAAATTGTGGTCTGCGACAGAGGAAGTAGTCCGAGAGTAGCGAAAGGGTTAGTAGTGAAGAAAGCCGGCGGCATGGGAATGATTCTGGCGAACGGAATCTCGAACGGCGAAGGACTTGTCGGAGATGCTCATCTTCTTCCTGCATGTGCCGTTGGTGCCAACGAAGGAGATGCCATCAAGAAATACATCTCATCATCGGCTAACCCAACGGCCACACTCGATTTCAAAGGCACTATCCTCGGAATCAAACCGGCACCGGTTCTTGCTTCCTTCTCAGCGAGAGGACCCAACGGTTTAAACCCTCAAATTCTTAAACCGGATTTGATTGCTCCAGGGGTCAACATTCTGGCTGCTTGGACCGACGCTGTTGGACCAACCGGTTTGGATTCTGATACCCGAAGAACCGAATTTAACATCTTGTCAGGTACTTCCATGGCTTGCCCTCACGTGAGTGGCGCCGCGGCTTTGCTCAAATCCGCGCATCCTGATTGGAGCCCCGCCGCCATTAGATCCGCCATGATGACCACTGCTACTGTTCTCGACAATAGAAACCAACCCATGATCGATGAAGCCACCGGGAATAGTTCCACGCCTTATGATTTCGGTTCTGGTCACCTCAATTTGGGTCTCGCTATTGATCCTGGCTTGGTATACGATATTGGAAATAGTGATTATGTTAATTTCCTTTGCAGTATTGGTTATGGGCCTAAGGTTATTCAGGTCATTACTCGAGCGCCGGTGAGTTGTCCTGCTAGAAAGCCGTCGCCGGAGAATCTTAATTACCCCTCGTTTGTTGCCATGATTCCGGTGTCCTCGAAGGGGGTGGTGTCGAAGACGTTTATAAGGACTGTGACGAACGTGGGGACGGCGAATTCTGTTTACCGAGTGAGAGTGGAGTCGCCGGCGAATGGGGTGACGGTGACAGTGAAGCCATCGCGGCTCGTTTTCTCGGAGGCAGTGAAGAAGCGGAGCTATGTTCTGACGGTGGCGGCGGATACCCGAAATCTGAAGGTGGGTCAGTCAGGGGCAGTGTTCGGGTCGCTGTCGTGGACGGATGGAAAGCACACGGTTCGGAGCCCCATTGTCGTTTCTCAAATAGAACCGTTATAGAGCGTTGATCATGTCGTTTTGATGCGACGCGTGACTCGTGACGCGAGTGGGCTGCCCCGTAAGTTGCCACGACTGATATAAGACAACAGAAGAAATACTTGGTATTTCTTTTTCTTTTCTTTTTTATTTTAAATTTAGGATCGTCTGCAAAGCCACTTTGTTCAAGTCACAACAGGATCTGGAGTTTCATCTAATCCTTTCTTTTCTTTTCTTTTTACAGAGATGTAATCCTTTGCTGTACTTTTTTTTATGTTTTTCTTCGGTTCACGTTAGCTTCTTGTATTCATAGACTTCAAGGCGTGTCTATTTATACTCTATATATATGAAAAATTATACGATTAATTATTATTTGTGGCATTTATTTCACACTGTTTGGTTTATTTTTCAAGTTTTGCAAGGGATCCTTCAAAATGTTCGCATATGTTTGTTGCATATGATATATATACAATTTTACAGGGATTCTGCAAAACGTTGGCACATGTTTGTTGCTTATAATAGAATTTGCATAATGCACCTTTAACTTTATATTGGAAGTATATATTAACCCTGTGATTATATTGTAGTATTAACCTCGGTTGGCGAGATATGGAAGATCTTCTCGGAGGGACATCTGTTGAAGCACCGGTTAACATTTACGTTAAACGACAGAGAATAACAATTGATAGTATAGTATTTTAACACATTGATATTTACATAAAACAAAAAGAAAGACAATGTAAGCAAATCCATATATTTCACTCCAGTCAATTCTTATCACTAATCAAACCGTTTATTAATTTCATTTTTTTAATAAGCCATGTTTATTGATAACACAAGTCCAACTCTTCGTAAAATAAAATAATTATGACAAATATATAAATAAAGTTAGTAACAAATGATTGTACCTAAACATATATGATTTTCCTAAATAGAGCGTGAAAAAAATTTGTTAAAAGAGTAAATTTTTAATGTGAATTTTATCTAGTTTTGGCTGGAATTACGTCCAATGCATTTTCACTTAAATGAATTTAACAAAAAGTAACAAAAAATTCGCTTAACTAAATTTAGTAAAAAAATAATTTTTGCTTAAGTAAATATTGTAAAAAAATTTAAAATTTTATCTCTTTTTTTTTAAATGATAAAATAGTTGAAAAATATTTGTATAAAATTATGTAGTCACACTTCATTTAATAAAAATTCAAGTATTTTAAAATATATAATATTACAACTATTTCTCAACTAATTTTTTAAAGTTATTATTTTTATAATTTTTATCATCATTTTCAACAATTTAATTTGATTTTAAATAATTCTATTTCACTAATGTTAAACACAAGTAGCACACTAGATGGTAATACATTTAGAAGTATTTGTCTAAAATTATATGCTCATAGTACAAAAATTTAAGTATTTTAAAACATATAATAGTATAATTATTTCTTAACTAATTTCTTAAAGTTATCATTCTTATAATTTTTATTATTATTCTCAATAATTTAACTTGATTTTAAATAGTTCTATCTCACTAATGTTTAACATAAGTAACACATTAGATAATATATTTTCAAATTTTTTTAAAATAAAATATGTAAGTCTTTGTTAATTAGGTAGTTATTATTGAGAAATAAAAAAATTTTAAATTTTTTATAGTTTAAAAATATATAAAATTTTAAAAAAAAATTGTAATTTTAGCTTAAGTAAATTTTTTGCTTTAAAAAATTTATTTTTTATAAAATTTGCTTAAATAATTTTTTTTTACTTAAACAAATTATTTTAATTAAATTTATTTAAGCAAAATAAAATTTATTTAAACAAAAACGTACTACAAGTGCAATTTCTGGAAAAAAAAAAAAAAAAAAGCAGAGAATCCGAATCCGTAAATTTTATGATGTTAAAAGCGAAACAAAGAAATAAAAAAGTTGGAAACATGTGACTGTGTGAAGAAGAGTGAAGTGCACTTTGGACACAGAGGACTGTAAGAGGTTTGATTGTCAATGTCTTGGGTATCGTAGGCTACCAAACCCTTAAGACTTGGCCGATTTCAAGTTTGAATAGGGAGCTGAAGAAGACAAAACAAGATGGCAAGTTCACTGCATCTGTATGGTAGTTGCTTCTGCTTGAGATTATTTCAAGCATAAAACTCGTTGCAGAGAGCTGTAATGTTAAATATCATTATTGAAATATATTTAATATATTTTTTAATATTAATATATATATATATATATATATATATGAGATTTTATAGAGAGAAAGTATTAACAGATAAACTTTAAATCCTACATTTTTAAACTGTATCTTTTTTTTAATATATTCTTTTAATTTCAGGTTAGAATGTTATTAATTTATTGTTTTAAAATTTTTAATTATTGCAAATAAGTTTGAATTAATAATTTTAATATTATTATGAATAAATGAAATTTAAAATATTTGTAGGAATTAATTAAATTATTTAATGTTAATATAATATTATTGAAAATATAAATGTAAATTTTTTTTATTTTATTTTTGTTTGTAATATTTTTTTATTACTATTTGTTTAGGTAAACTTTTGTAATAATTTTGGCTATATTTTTTAATTTGATACACAGGATGACTGAAATTGTAGTTATTTTATATTAGAATGGAAGAGTGTACGAAGGAAATGAGGGTATCATATTTGAAGAGAATAAGAAAATGATTAAAATAGAACGTTGAATTACTTTTGAGATGTTGAAAAAAATACATACAAAATTGAGGTTGTGCAATAGTAATGTAATTTTTAGACTGATTTCACGAATTTTAGTTGATTTAAGGAGTGAAAACTACACAATTTTAGATGTATGTGATGATGAAGACATTGACTGTATTATAAGTGCTTGTCAAGAACGACATCAAAAAAATGTAGTTGAGTTATATGTGGATATTGCGGTTGGTGAAACTTCTCATGTAGGTGAAAGTTTGTTATGTTTAAATTTAGTGACAATGAAGTGGAGTATGCAATTAGAGAAGGTAATGTATAATCTTTATTTAAATTATATGATGTTTAAAATTTTATAATTTATTAATAAATTTTTGCTGCTGCATCTACAGATGAAAAAAATGAGTACGATGATGACTATAAAGATGAAGGAGAAATTCCTTTAGATAGTTCTTCTAATACTGATTTGGAAGATGACTTCGATTCAATTATGAATATTTCAAATACTGAAAGAAATAACGATATATAAGGACAATCTACAGGTATAATTTTATATAATACGGTAATTGTAAAATATTTGTAACTAACATTAGTTGAACCATTCTCGGGGCCGAGATTTAACACCCTACTACGAAACGAAGATGATGTCATCTAAAATCTATATAAACAAGTAAACTACAAACTTTAAATGTACAATATAAGCAACTAAATTTAATAAAAATAATTTCATTTTATTATTAAACAATTTGTACCTTAAAATAGACTCTATCAAACTAAATTTACCTACAATTAGTACATTTACAACATATGTTCCAATAATAGCTTACAACAAAATTTATATTTTCAAAATATCATTATAGAAAATTTAACCTATAAATTCTTACTAATGTATTTAAATCTTTTTTCACTTGAATAAAATTACAAATTTATTATTATTCATTAAAATCATATAAATAACTACAAACTTTTTAAAATATTCAAATGTCTAAATTATTAATTATATAATATTTTTATTTTCAGTCATTTATATTTTAAAATAACATTTTCAATTTTATTTAACTTATAATTTTATAGATTCATCTTTTTTTTTTCACTTAATTCCTTATTCTTTTACTCTAAATTTTTTTTCAAGTTAAACCAATTTATAATTCAATGATAAATAACTATATTTTTATCTTTCACAAATTTAAATTATTTATTATTTCTTAATTATGTGACATAATATTTGTTGAAATATTATTATAAATTTAACAACCGCAAATTTTTAATAATATAAATTTATTAATTAACATATTTCATTCTTGTTATTTCAATTTTATGTTGTTATAATTATTTTTATATTTTATCAACCTTATAATAATAATCACACATAATTCTTCCTCATATATTTATTTAATTTAATTCTTTTATATTTCTCAATTAATTTATATTTATATATTTTTTTAATTTAATTATTTTTTTATTTTAACATAATAATATTTGTATAATAATAATATCATCATTATTTTTACTTTTAAATACAGTTTTCTACATAAATAACAATAAAATTATAAATTTTAATTTAAATATTTCCTACTTTTATATTTTTCTATTTACCTATTTATCTATTTTCGTATTTTTCTATTTTCCTATTTTTTACATACATAAAATTACAACTAAATAAATTATAATGTAAATTTTACTAACCTTTGATCTGAGAATCTAGACCAGCCTAGACCATATCGAAAGTCCCTTTCGCAGAATTGTAATCTTCCAGAAATGAGAACAAAAACAGATGCAAGAAATTATATTTTTTTTAAATAAATTTTCATATTTCTATCTAATATACGAAACGATCTTTTATTCTTACCTTCTAAATTTTTAAAAATGGCAAAACTGCTCGCCCCTTCTTCCTCTGCGTTTTTGTTTAGCCAAAATTTTTAAAATTTCTCGCTTACACAATGAAGAAGATGAACAGTAGAAGCGGGAGAAATGGAAGGGCGAGCGGTGTGCCTCCTGCAAGATTGTCACGTGGACCAATGCGTGTGTTTGTCCTGAACATGTGTCGTCAAAAATAATTCCGACACTAAAGTCGGATGAGCCCTCCAACACACTGGAGAATCTCCACGTGTGTAGTTTGCAGCCGTAGATCAGTGTTATAAAAATTCGTCCGTTAAATTTTTTTTTAAATGTCGGTTCCAAGTTTGACGACACTATTAATTTAAAAAAAAAAAATTTTGTGTCGGCCATATATCTTCCGACACTGCTTCCATCTGTCATTCCCCACCCGAAACATATAATTTGTTTTGAAAGAGCCCCATATGATGAATTTATTTCTCCATTAATCCTATGCGGGCAAAACAGCCGCTGATTTCAAGTTTGAATAGGGAAACAAAATGGCAAGTTCACTGCATCTGTTTAGTAGTTGCTTCTGCTTGAGATTATTTCAAGCATAAAACTCGATGCAGAAAGCTCTAATGTTAAATATCATTATTGAAAAATATATTTTTTAATATTATAATATATATATATATATATATATATGAGATTTTATAGAGAGAAAATATTAGCAGAGAAACTTTAAATCCTACATTTTTAAACTGTATCTTTTTTTTAATATATTCTTTTAAATATTGTAAATATTTAATAAGTTATTAAATATGTTACTTCAATTTTGATATATTATTTTTGCAATATTTTTATTCCTATTGTTTAATTAAATGTTTTAATAAAGTTTTAAAAATATTTAAAATTATAATAATTTAAGATTGGATAATAATAGTGTATATCTATGATTTGAGTGAGTCTTATTCTTAAACCAGAGTGCTCGTAAGGGTTTTTCTTTTTTCATTACCTTGTGTGACTTTTCTTTTATTTAATATTTTTAATTTAATCTTACTAACTATATAATAAACATTTTTTATAATAAAATTATTTTTTAAAAAAAGTTATTAAATTTTTAAAAAGTCATGTAATATATTATTATTTTATTATAACTTTTTAATTTAATATTAATCCAACACATGAAAATTTATTAATTCTACTAAACTTTAAATACCTAAAATAAGCAATAAAAAAATAAATGAACTATAATATTCAACATTTTAGAAAAATATTTTTACTTTTTTATTTAAAAAATTATAATATTTAATCATTATACTGTGTTAAATTTACTTGTAAAATTTTTTATCTAATAGTTTTAAGTAATACTTTTATTTTTATACTTGACTCACATTTATAAATTAGTTTATAAATTTTAAAAAAATTATAAATTAATACTTATATATATATATATATATTTACTATCAATTTAATATTTGCCGTTATATTTAAACTAAACAAACTAAATTGTAAATAAATATATATGTAAGAATTAACTTACAAATATGAATTAATTATATAAATAAAAATACTATTTAAATTTTAAAAAATTATTATAAAATATAAAAAAAATATAAATTTATATTCATGACCAAGATAATGTCAAATTTTATCTTACTTTCTTAACTTTTTTTTTTTGTTGTCTAATATAATCTCTTTCTCTATTACTAACTATATTTTTAAATTTGTAGGCTTTTATTTTACTTTCTTAATTCTCCTTTATCTAATAAAATCTTTTTTTCTTTTGTTAATTATATTTTTAAATTTGTAGTAAAAGAATAGAAATAAAAATATAAGATAATTTTAATATAGTATTTTTATATAGTATAAAGATAAGGCAGATGCAGCCAAGTGGATCAAAGTAATGGATTGTGAATCCACCATGCACAGGTTCAATTCCTGTTGTTTAAAGAAAAATACCTACATCACTAGGTTATCATATCTTACTTTATCTAAAAGTTCCTTCTATAATAATTATTTTTGTTCACCAGTAAATTTCATTGCATCATGTTCAACATAAAAGTTTAACAAATATAAATTCATAAGAAAATTAAAATTTTAATGAATTATCATTTGGTTATAATAATTTGCATTATGCTTTACGTTTCATTACATAGTATACGTATACTTTAAAATTATGAATGTTGTCATTAATGACAATTTATGAAAAATTGTTTCATAATTTAAGAGAGTGTACATCAAATAATAAAAATAAAAATTGTTCAATAATATAGAATTAATCATTTGTAAAGTCATTTGTTTTGTAACTCAATTCTTAACTCGATTTCAATAACACAAGAAACATCTTTAGTGATATGAAAATAATTAGTTAACATGTTTTTAAGATATATTAAATTAAAAATAAATCTACATATAAATATTGATCTATAAATTTTTTATATATAAAAATTAATTTAAAAATATAAGAATGAATATATAATTTAAATCAAATTATATAAACTAATTTATAGATTTTTTATATTTAAATACTAACTTACAAATACGACAAAGGTTTAAACTTAACTAATATTACTCTTTCTCAATTCATACGAAAACAGACAAAGGATAAAATACGTTTTTGACAGAACGAAAGAACGCTATGTCGTTTATCTTACAAAACCGCCATCGAGTTCATTATCATCACCGACCAGAATTCCACTATGGGTTGAACGCTGTCCCCCAAGCGTTTCCTTTGCTTTGATTGTATGTGTATTTGTCGAAAGCTTAGTGAAACACGTGTCGAGTGTTGACAAGTCCTGGTGCCTAACGTTCTAATTTTATTAAATTATTACTATTATACTAATAACTACAGTAACTAATCATTATTTTATGAGGAATTGAATTTATAAAATAATTTTGTACAATATATAAACAGTAACCATAAGGAATCGAATTTACTACATCATTTTGGATTGATCTTCTCTTGATTCCCAATATATTCTCCCCTCAAATATATAGATTTTGAACTGACCTTTTAAGGATGTAAAAATTATGAATATTAGTTATATTATTTTTTTACCATGAAAATCAGTCTCTAAGAATAGTGTTAAGAACTGTTATTTGTATTTTGTATCCTAAAGTATTGATATAATAAAATTGTTAAATTTAAGTTATCAAAAGAAAGATAATTTAATCAACGCCATTCACAAATTTTAGTTTTTCTTTCCTTCTAAACTGAATGTACAGTGAAATAAAAAAAACTTTGACCTTTTAAATATTTTTCCTTCCTTTCAAATTTTTTTAAAGCAAATGAGGTTTCTTATAAGTTTATTTATCTTTAATCCAGCATAATGTAAATGTGTGTTTGATAATGATTGCTTTTGAAAAAAAAACAATTATCTTTATATTGAAAAAAAAAACAAAAGCACAAAGGATCCAACTCCAAGCTTATAATACAAGCGTTAATCTTAGTGAAGGCAAAGGAGATTTGATACTTGGCGTTTAATTTAGAGACTGATTCATAAAAAAAGTACATTATTTTATTTTCCAAACAACCAAAAGCAATATAATATTACTATAAATATTGAGTGTGAGGGGGAAATTCCAAGTTAGCGGGTATTCCTTATCTGGAAGCAACTAAAGAGAATTTATCATCTAAATTTTTTAGCACGAAGCCTTTAATTTATTTAATATAATTTTTTTAAGGATTTTGGAAAGTGAAATTATTCTTTAATGCTTATAATAAAAATCATTTAAAGCTTTCTTCTTAAGTTGACCAATTTGATTTGTTTGGGTCAACGAGATATATATATATATTGTTTTGGTCAACATTCTTATTTTTCCCCCATTAAGGTGGAGATTGGAGAATTAGAAGAGAGGATTAAGAATTTGTTAAGAAAAGGGTTCCAACTATGACTTGTTAACTTTGATGACTAAACTTTCCCCGTATGGACGGTCAACATGAGATATATCCTTCATTTGATTTTTAAAAAATTATACAATTTATAATTACTTTTTATGAAATATTTTATTAAGATATATTTTTTATTTTTTATAAGCTATATTAATTTTACTTATTTAATTGATGTAATCCAACTAGAAGCTAACGCTTGAAAATATTTTTATATAAATTATTTTATTTAAAAAGATTAAAAATAGTAATTTATAAAAAATTAAAAATTATATAATCCAACTATAGCCTTTTTATCCGTTTGTGGAGAAAGAGGAATTATCGTGCATTATGGGTTGCTTGTATGGGCTTGTTCGGGCCATTTTTGTTTTTGGGTGGGTGCTTGTATGGGCTTGTAGGGGCCATTTTTTAGGTTTTAGGCTGAGGCCCTCTCGTTAATTGTGAATTAAACTACGCGGGAATTGGCGCCTCTGGATTGTTCCCAGTTTCTTAACGAGAAAGTAACTGATTCATAACTGGCACTCTCATGGCATATTCAGAACGCTCTACGTCCACGTCCACGCTTATTACACGGCTTCCCCACCGCCACGTGTTTTCTTTTCTTCGCCATGTCGGTTTTGTCTTACGTTTTAAAATGTTTCCCATAAGCCTTAATCTTAATCCATTCCACGCACCAATACTATATAAATAATTCTCATTCGTCTTCATTCTTCACTACTGTCACATTTCACAACCATGTCTCAACATTCTTCGTTCTATCCACGAGTCGATTTCACAAACCCAGAAGCCAATTCTCCCTTCTCTCAGTCCTCTTCATCTTCTTCTTCCATGTACCCCTCAATCGATACCAACAACGTTGCTGTTGCCGAGGAAGACTCAAATACGACACAACCAATGGAACATGTTCTTGTCACTGTCCCGGGAGCGATTCTGCACCTCATAGAAAAGGACTCCAGCGTCCATCTCGCTTCTGGGGACCTCACCATAGCGAGCCTCAGGGAAGGGGAAAAGGTGGTGGCAGTTCTGGCGCGCATCGGAGACCAAATTCAGTGGCCGTTGGCAAAAGACGTGTCGGCTGTGAAGCTGGACGAGTCTCACTACTTCTTCACGCTTAAGGTTCCGCAGAAGCACGGGGAGAATGAGTTGGAGGTGTTGAATTATGGGTTGACGGTGGCGGCGAAAGGGCAAGAGGGGGTGTTGAAGGAACTGGATGAAGTTCTGGAGAAGTATAGCTTTGTATCGGAGGAGAGAGTGGAGGGTGTGCGTGGGTGGGAGGTGTTGGATGGGTCTGTGTCCAAGGAAACATCGCCGGAGGAGTTGAAGTCGGAGAAGAAGAGGGAAGTGGTGGAGGAGCGTTCTGCGGCGTATTGGACTACGTTGGCACCAAACGTTGAAGATTACAGTGGTAACTTTGCAAGGTGGATTGCCTCAGGGTCAGGGCAAGTGGTTAGGGGGATTTTGTGGTGTGGGGACGTTACTGTGGATAGGTTGAAATGGGGTAATGATTTCTTGAAGAAGAGGTTGCAACCTGGTTCCCAATCCCATATTAGTCCACAAGCCTTGGAGAGGATGAAAAGGTTGGAACTTGGAATTCCTTACTTTGAATTCAATGTTTTGTTCCATGTTCATTTTAATTATAATTTTTTCATGTTGTGGCCTTTACAGGGTTAAGAAGTTGACGAAGATGTCAGAGAAAGTGGCCACCGGCGTTCTCTCGGGGGTTGTTAAGGTGTCTGGATTCTTCACAAGTTCTGTGGTGAACTCCAAAGCGGGCAAGAAATTCTTTAGCCTTCTTCCAGGAGAAATCGTCCTTGCTACCATGGATGGATTCAGTAAGTTATATTATACGTATCTTTTTGGTACCATGGATAAATATCATAGGCGTTTTTAATATTATTTAAGTTTTATTTATATCTGTATTATGTGGATTTTGAGTTAATTATTGTCTCTCTTGATTATGCGTTGATGAAAGCTAGGACTTGATTTTTTTTAATATTCTTATTAGTCTGGCTATGTGATGTGCAGATAAGGTCTGTGATGCTGCGGAAGTAGCTGGAAGGAATGTCATGTCCACTTCCTCAGTTGTGACCACTGGACTCGTTTCACATAAGTAAGTTCATTCCTTAAAAATTTAGTCATTTATTCAAGTATTCTCATAAAAAGAGTGCAAGAAGCATCTTGAGTCTTCTTGATGTGTATGATTGACTGGCTTTTCTTTGAATTGTCTTTTTTTGGTTTTGTTAGATATGGAGAGCAAGCAGCTCAGGTAACAAATGAAGGCTTAGATGCTGCGGGGCATGCGATTGGAACAGCTTGGGCTGTGTTCAAACTTAGGAAGGCTCTCAACCCCAAAAGCGTCATCAAACCAACAACACTAGCAAAAGCTGCTGGTGAAGTTAATTCTGCTAAATTGAAGGCTAAGAAATAACAAGTCATGAAAAGCAAGAGCATTAGGATCTCCCACGCCTTTATATATTATCTATTAGTTGTTGTATTGGTTTGTCTGTTTGTTCATTTTTTTATTTTAATCAATCTTTATAGTTAGTGATAGATGTTTTGGAAAAGGAATTATATTCGTTACATTTCTTTATTCAAGAGTCTATGGCACAAGAAGATTAACGGGTTCTGAGTTACTCACCGAATTTTCTATTGAATTCCATTTTTTTTACCCTTCCTTTTTACTCTAAATATAAATTGCACAATCAATATAAATTGCACAATCATGGTTGGACTTTAGTAGGGATACTACAAGTGGCCACGGTAGTGTTCTGCCCTTTAGAAATGAAAGGGAAAAAGTTCTTAATAAAGGGTTACCAGAGGGGTGGAACCAAAGTAACATAAATGAAGAAATAAAGTGCTACCAAAGTGATGAAACAGAAGTAAAATAACTGAAGAAATAAAATGGGAAAAGGAAGAAATAGTAAGGTGGGGAGGGAACACAAGTAATATGACTAACGCTTAGACATACAAATTATTCCTTGTAACTTGGACGGGGTACTTGCTCGGAGACAAGACATACATACTTCCAAATCTGGGCCTCTAGGTAATGTCAAATTATCAATTTTCTTTAATCCAACTGTTCTAACAGCAGCTGGCATGGACAATATATGCTTTGCATAAACTAACTTAGCATTGATTTGCTATAGTATCTTGCATAAACACATCTATTTCTCACAGTTCTTTTCACTTAATAACTAGTTTTAAATGGCTTATAAGTCTTGAGATCCAAAACCACACCGGCCATGGAACCAATGGCAGCTAATAATGAAATGATGAGGCAACTGAAACTAAGTATCTGAAGTCCAACCCACCGAGTAGTCCATCTTCCGATCTTCTTTTGTGAAATATACATGTCGATTGGGAAATAAACTGTCAAGAGCCAGAATCCAAAAGCTCCCAGTATTCCAACCACATCATTGAAAAATGGCATCAGCATCGCTATGATGGTCGTTGACAACACAAAAATGGTTCTCCATACCAAGCGGAACAAGTTCAGTTGATACAACCCACAGAAGGGAATCGGTATTTCATATTCTGCTGTCACGAAATCGTTCTTTGGCCACTTACGTGCACTCCATTTTTCAACAAATGCAAATAATGGCTGGGAAAATACCTGGAAAAATATATTAATATTAATATTAATATACTACTACATTTCTTTATCTTGCTCCCTAGTTTATATCTAGGATTGAGAAACTTAAATGAATTCAAAATTAAAGCAACTCAAAACAAATGATAGTGGCCAACTAACATTTTAGAAGCTACATTAATTCGCTGGAATAAGATACTAATGAAGGATAGTATGAAATAATACCTGGTATGCCCCAACTAGGTGCACCACAACTGCAAGGTTGGCAATGTCGAGAAGCCAATAAGGGTTATAGAATCCAAAACCAGTTAAGAGATTTCCAGGGGCATTATCTCCGAAGGCTGCATAGCCCATGCATCCACAGAGTAAATAGAACACTGTGGTAACTGTGATGCTCAACGTAGTGGCCTTTCTCATGGTCTTGTGCTCTGCAGGAGGGGATCTTATGGTGTCCTGTAAGGCAGCCAAAATGGTTTATTAATTTTTAAGAATTAATTTTGTGAAGAATATGTATTTTCAACATAGGCCATATATGAATTACCTGAATTTCGATGAGGATAACGGAAAAAGAGTATGCGAAGGCCATTGCCCCCAGAGCTTGTAAACTTCTCCATATTTTTTGTGTGCTAGTAACTGTTCCAGCTTGTGTCACTGTGCCAACGCTAATTCCTATCAGGCTTCCTTTAAAAGTTTGATTTTCTGCAAGGTGAAATACAAACTTAAAAAGTTGCACAAAGAAGCAAATCATGGTTGAAAGTTGCATATGAATGTCATACACATAAAATATAAATCTGCTTGCACCTGCTACTTTAGCCACGCCAAGGCTCAATCCAACCGCAGAATAAGTGAAGGACATGATAGCTGCAACTATGGATAGCCACCATATTTGATCAAAGTCTGGGATTTGGGAAAATATCACTTCTGCTATTCCAAATGTTATCATGTACCCATTGCTTGACATATGGCATGGATCTTTTCCATGACTCTTATGATAACAATTCGACCTTTTTATAGCCCTGAGACACAGGCGGGATGAAAGGTCAATAATATATACATACACGCCATATTATATAGTTATTTAATCAAATGAAAGTCCATTTTATTTACTGGGATGGAAACATCATTCATATATCACTAGGCATATTAATTTTTAAGTTCCAACAAGTAACTTCATTTTAATAGAGCAAGAAATAATAACTATCACTTATGATCTAACTCACATCATACTAACTGAGGCAGCAATGGTATACCCAATTGCAATTCCAAACAGATTCACATATTGGATTAGGCCACATAACTTGACTTTTTTTCCTCCTGAAATCAACAAAATGGCATGATTAGTTTAATTACAACAACATACAAACTTTCTTGTAGTTGCATATTAATTACAGTAGATTCTTAATCATCCTACCCAAGATGGACTTTACTGCGTCCATGTAGGTGTAATTTCTCTGTCCAGTAACGGAGTCACCGGTCCTATAACACTGTGTTAGAAGGTTGGAAGTGTATAGATTAACGACGGCAAAGAGAAACATGACAACCGGTCCAGCAACCCAACCAAGCTGAGCCACCGCCCATGCTAGTGAAAGGACTCCCGACCCTATAACAGCAGTGATGATATGAGCAGTTGCTGTCCAAAATGTCCCTGCAACGCCGCGATACATCATTCTTAATTTATCACTTCCAGTGTCACCAATAACATTGCTATTGTTTTATGTCACACACAAGTGTTACTTCGTAACTTTGTTGCATCCATGCTTTAAAAATTATGACGTAGCTAGTCGTATTGTTTTCGATACTAATACACTTGTATTTGTATATATACATATTTGCCATTTTGACCTTTGCAATATGGTGTAATATTTTTAAATTTTTAGAAAGTTATTATTTAACTGAATTTGCTTAAAATTATAATAAAATATTCATACATAAATATAAATATATTTTCCTTCCTAATATTTTAAATTTTTTATATTTGCATGTTTAAAAATCCACTGTAACATTCTACTCGAATAGAAAATTGTTTTTTTTTTTATTCAATTATCCTATAAACTCTTATAGTTACTATATTTCTAAAAAAAAATCATAAATGAGTTTTTACTCACCAACGACAATTAACCTAAGCTACGGGGACTTGCCTATTGGAAAACTTAAAATAAATTATAAGAATTTATTTAATACAGAAAACATCGCATAAGCTTTTAAGATTTATCTGAATTTTTAAATAGGAATCTATATAGTAAAGTTAACGATAATTAGAGTGAGGACATAAAAAAATCATTAAAAATTAAACTATAATAACAAATTTTAGAATTTGGCGAAATAATATAGTTATGAAAGAAATCAATCAATCAGGAAGTTATATGCACCTACCCTGAAATCAATCTACCAGAGCTTTGATATAAAGCTAAATTATAACCTGTTCTCTTCAAGCGTCCATCATCGTCGAAGCACTTGGAATAGTTAGACTGAATATTAATCGCTTCGGTCTCCGTTGGGGCATTGGGTCGCACTTCTACTTGTAAGTAGTGCCTGATATCATGCCTCTCTTCTATCTGTTGTAAGCAATTGAACATCAATTAATCAACGTTAAAAAAAAAAAAATAGAAAAAGATTATTATCCTAGAAAATTAATTGATTTTCTCTTACAACTCCTTGGTGGATTCTGCTAGGAAGTGTTCTACTTCTTGGCAACATGGCTGTGAAACGTAACTGGACGATACAGTGAGTACTTAGTGTGAGTGAGGGAGAAATTAACTAGGAAGAAATTAAAGGTAAGTGAGGGATGCTTTTTGATGAAAATGAACGGGATTTTATAGGAAAGACCCTCGGTCTTTGTATGTCCACTACATCACGTTTCAGTAGTTTGGCTAGAACTGTATAACATTTTCAAGAGATTTACTTTTACTGACTTATTACTAGAGAATCATTTCAGCTTGCAATCAATGACTCTTTGGACCTTAATTTGGAACATGTTGCATATATGATAGCAAACTACCACTCCAACCGTGTGAGTTCATGGATGGATGGGGCCATGAGATTGAGAAGGTCGAATATATAGGAACCAATTAACATTTATATGAGAAGATATGAAGATAAAAAGGGTTGATAACTTTTTGTTATTGGTTTCCAGCATGGAATTTTAAATCATAAAGGACAATTACCTATACGGTCTTCCGCTAAGATTATTCCATGTGTTAATATCAGTTGGAAGGTTACTCATAATTTTGTTCATCGTAACACTACTAATGCGTTCACTGTAAGTAGGTCCATGCATATTTATTTTGATCACGATTACTTTGAACTTTTTGAGATCATCAAGATGACGTATCCAATTCACAACGACATATTATCATAATTTCTTATTAAGTTGCCTTGACAAATTAATACGACCCCGGTTCTACATCCTATATTATTATTATTATTATTACTAGTATCATTAGAACATGACTTTAAGATCAATAAAATCATTTTCAATTTCAATTTGGAAAGTCTACCCAAGGGAGAAGTTAAAAAACAACATAGTCTCTTCTTGTAAATTGTAATACACCTACCATGTTCGGAGGAGGAAAAAGTTTCGTTTGTGACTCTAGCACTAGCAGAAGGAGTCATGGTGACTATGATTGCCTCCATCATAAATAGAAAACACTCGGTGTTGACACGAGAGAACTGTGTTGGTATTGGTTTGTCTGTTTGCTTTTTGCCCTGTCCAATTTAGGACAAACCCAACAGGAGCTTAATTTTTATACATTTGTAGTGTATAGTATATTTACTTTTGCTAAACTTCATTTTTCTATCTGTATTCTCTCTTTGTCATATTAGAGCACCCGTTCGTATCTTTTGTTTCTCTCTCTATTCTCTTTTATCTCTTTCTTGGAATATAATATAGACCATGAGATCATGTATAACAACCATTTTTCCAAAATTAGAGAAGACACGGGCTTTGCTCTTAGTTGTTTCTTTACAGGGAAAAGGCAATGTGAAAGTGGCGGGCCTCAACCGAGTCAAGTGTCGACAATTCATCACTCAAGAACAGCGTTTTATATATCAATTCTGGTTTCG